TGTGAACTACCATTTCTATAGAAACATACTCACAGAGCTTTTATTATTACAGGATTATTAATCTTCAAGCTAGTGGTTACAAAGGTCAGAGCAAAACTTTCGTAACTTTACTTCTACAAGACTACTCATAGAGGGCGTTGCCAGAGAAGCTGAAATCTGTCACAAAGAGCACAGTATGGGAAATAGAACTGTTTTACACCTTCTACTGAACAGTGTAAGAAATTCTAGTTTTGATCCCAATCACGGGTCAATTAAAAATTTATAATGTTCATAAAATGTTCAAATAACATTTACAATCTTTGTAATATTAAAGTATGCTCTGCAATTTATCCTCTCTCATGTTTTTTAACAAGTAAAGCTGTTATTTGAAAAAATACCACATTACCCTCCAATTAATCTTCTCATCTTTCCTCCTCTATAACTGTTATACTAAAAGCAGTCTCTGAACTCAGAGTGTTTGAAAGACAATCAGAAGGTACTTCTAATGATTTTGAATGCTAAGTGATGACCGCTGGGCCTTGCAGCTGGAAGTGTGTTCATACCTCCTCCCCAACACTACTGGATTAGCACTAGAATCAGGAGGTTAATTACACTCCACTAAGATAAATGTCACAAACTAGAGGAAATTTGCTGCTTTTCTTGGAAAAGAGCAAAATCTGGTAGCTGATAGGACTTTCTTTCTGCCTATGCAAGGCACATCCCACTGAAATTATTGTGAAAGGCTCTAGGTGACCGCATAAGGCTTTGGATGCAGTTTCTATTTGTATTTCAGCACCCCTGCATCTTTCAAACTGCATGACTGCCTTCCTACTCTGAGGAAGAGGAATCCGTTTTAAACAGAACACACAGGTTTGTAAATGTCCATACAATCTGAGAAATGAGTCATGTTAAAACAATCCCATAGGAATGCACTAATCTGTTACTTTCAAACTGACAACATCTGGTCATATATAAAGCAAAATCAACAGAAACTGTAAATTATAAAGCATCTGAAGAGCTAGTAACATTTATTAAACTTTGAGATATAAACTAATGTTAGGTAAAGAGTAATTACTTTTTTATTCATAGATTTTCCTCTGGAAAAGCTATAACAAGTAATATCTTTATAATGAAGGTTTAAAAATAACTGCATTTTCACATGCATGCTCTTCATCAGTAAATTTAAAACTTTTTTCCTGGTCTTAATGCAAAAGTCTGGTTTTGATTGACTTCCCCAGAAGCAAGATAGTGTACTTTATTGCTTAAATTTGTATTGTGCTTCTTGGTTGCACTTTCACTGCACCCAATTTAAGCTCCAATCTAGCAAATACATCCTTAAACGCATGCTCACAAAGACAATAGGTCTACTATGCATTGACTATTCAAATACTATGTACTTCACTGCTTTGGTGAGGAAGTTCCAAAACAAGCTATGTACACTTGTCCAGAAAATTATTGTTTCATCTCATGGAATTTCTAAAAAATATTATCTATACTTAAATATAGCTAATTTTGATCATAGTCACCTTTCATGCAAATGTAGTTGGGTTATACTCTATCAATATCTAGCAGAAGAGATTAAGATCCCAGGTTTGCTACTGAAGCCAGAAACTAGAATTATTTTCCCCAAAAAATACGTTTGAATATGTTTAAATGTTTGAATAAGAAAAACAATCATTCTGTGCCTGTAGAAGTTCAGTCAAATTAATTCTCCAAAAAGATTCAGATCAATTTAAATTTTTCCCAAGAAAATAATTGTTTCAAAATAATTCCAAAGAATCTAATTATGTGGAGTATCAATGTCTTAGAACCAGCTTAAATATCAAAAAGTGTTACTGTTGCATTAATTCACTTACTTTTGCAGATATTGAGTCGTGTTCCCTTGTAACATAATTTCAGAGCAGTTGAGATTTATTTGCACAAATGTTTACAAATATGTGTTTTGTCTCACACTGTAAATCTACTATGTACCATTTACACCAGAGGCATTTGTTCATCTGTCCAAACCAAAGAACAAAAACATTCTGGTGCTGTACGTTCGTGTACTTCTAGCTGTTGATTTGTCTATGTGGGAATATCTATCTGCATTGCTGTATCAGTGTAACTCCCACATGTATACTCTTACCGCAAACAGCATCGTCTCATGGAATAACTGATATGAAAAGGTTATCGGTCTTTCCATTAAGAGTTTTCATACAGAAAATTACACTGGCATAGCTATTACTGCACAAATAATTGTGGCACATTTTTAGATGCCAGCAAACCCTGAAACACTTATGAACTATAACAATAAAATTAATAGCTAAAATTTAGGTGCAGCTCATTCCACCAATCACAAGCAAATGATTTGAGTTTGAAACATATCAGGTCTCGGGGGAAATACTTGACAAAATCCTGGCGAAAAAGATGTTATTGATAATATGTAATTCAAGGAGATTATGAACATTTGGGAATATTCTGTGAAGACATTCATTGTAAATTGGCTGAGCTTTGCTAAACACAAGAATTATGTGGAAAAACAAAAAAAGCAGTCATACTAGAGCAGAGTAAAACAAAGCAGTGAGAAGTGATTAAAAACAAACCATTTAAACAAATACAAAAGCAAATAAACAATGTCATCTGGCCCTCCAAAAGGCAATGGCTCCTGAGGAACTGAATATAGAATCTGTAGGCTTTTGTGAAACTATTGAAATTTCAGCTGGTACGTCTAACAGATCTGCAGTGGAGCCCATGTGGCTGTCTTATAAATTCCACTTCCCTCTTTTTACCCATTTTCAGCTGATATATCTGTTTAGCTTGGACAGATCACAGTTATGGGCTTTCACAAAAATGGCAGCAATGTTCAAAATGGAAAGAGGGAGGCCATATCTTTATGAGATGCTTCAACTGGCTGCAACAGGAATGACGGTTATACAATGCACAACCATAGGAAGATTGTCTTGAACATTACCGCAGCATATCCATATATGCGTCTAAACTATCTCCAGAAGATGTGCATACTTAAACCAATTCCATAAAGGAAAAAAGGGGTACTCTTTTTGTTTCCTATGTAAAAGAATCTCCTTTTGTAACTGACACTTCTATTGAACAGCTGCAATAGGTTTCTGTAAAGATCTTTTCCATGGAAATTTCAAGACTGACAGATGTCCCAAGAAAAGGATAGTTGAAGGCTGATATTTAATAATTATAATATATACTCCTCATGGGTGTGTTAATACTCTATATTTCTTTCCCAAACTCTTCCTTTCTCTGTTTTGCAGTGTTGTTCTCATCTCAGTCATGCTTTCTTTCCATTCCACTACTATCTTCATGTTAAAAGCTCCCGTTTGCTTCTTGCTCTGTTCAGTGCTAGTCTTAACTATTCTCCCTCTCTCACATTCTTCTCTTGGCTTTGTTCTCCGTCCTTTCATTTATTTTTCTCCACCGTACCCTGATTACTTATATTGCTCCCAAGTTGTAGGTTAGTGCCATCTTTCTTCCTTCATTCTCTTTCCTTACCTTTTCTCCTTTGGTCCTCTGGAGACCTTTACTTCTTTTAACAAGCCACTATAAAGTGACTCCCTATTCATTTGATGTTTTAGCTCGCTGAGTTTATACAACTCAGTGCCATTTTAAATATGTTAAGCTGTTTAGTGGCATTCTTCTTTTGTACTTTGTTTTCTTTTTCTTTAAATACTCCCAAGTTAATGGATTGCCAATTAATTAGAAATAGTTAATCTTTGCAACCAAATAAACACTACGTGTTTGTGTCTCTTGGGGAGCTCCTAAACTAAATTTTATGACTGTGTTGTTAAGCGTTCTCACTACTTGGCAGCCTGTCAAAGGAAATTAAAGTTTGCTGAGCATATATCCAGGCCACAGTTTGCAGAACATTTTCTTTGAGCAGCATGCTTCTGCATCCACTGTCCTTCTGTTCCTTCACTGTTTGTTCTCAGGCTGCACTGTCTTTAAGGATGCCAGTCTTAGGGATCATGGAGATGACTGAGCTTCATCAGCACGAAGACAGATAAAAAACTAGCACAAACACTGATTTTTTTGAACTCCTAATTGCTTTTAACCTGGTTTATTGTGTGAAGCCAAATGTGCCAGCTTAACCAAGGAAGAAAAGAAAAGGGAAGGAACATGTGGCAGAGAAGATTTTGAATTGCTACTGGAGAAGCATATCTCCTATCGATTCCAAATTGATGGAAAAAAGACAAAATGAAGGCGAGCAGACAGAAAAAAAATCATAGAATCATAGGTTGGAAAAGACTTCTAAGATCAAGTCCAGCCATCCACCTAAAAACACCATGCCTACTAAACCATGTCCTCAACTGCCATATCCACACGTTTTTTAAACACCTCCAGGGATGGGGACTCAACCACCTCCCTCGGCAGACTA